GCTCTTAAACTTCTTAATGTAAACGAATCTCCAGGGATCCATATACTTAAAATCCAGATTCCCAGGCCCCTCCCCCAAGTTCTGAAACAGCAGTCCAAGAGTGTGCCCCAGTAATTCCATCCTGAACACTCCTATCTTTAAAAACTAAAAAAGCTTATTTACTTTTATTTATTTGAAAGGCAAAGCAACAGAGAAAGAGACTTGGAGAGATCTCCCATCTGCTGAAATGCATTTGAGCTAGGTGGCTCTAGAACTGAGCTCTACTAATGAAACAGTACATTGCCCCCTGATTGGTTCTCTGTGTATACAGACACTGCCTGACTTACAGTGGGATTCCATCCCAACGAACCCGTCACACATCGAAACTATCTTAAGGCATGAATGCTTTCAATCCACGCAACCTACTGCACATCCAAGCTTAGCAACACAGGCCGCTGTAGAGTTCAGCCATTCCCCTTGTGACCACAGGGATGACTGGGAACATCAGGGGAGAGGATGGGAACACAAAGCGCCAACCCAGGAGCAGCCAACTTGGAAATTACAAGTAGGGTTTCCACTGTATGTGTGCCGCTTGCATACCCCTGGAAAGTCAGAAATCCTAAATCAAACACTGTGTATCAGGAACCACTTACACTGACTTGTTTATCTTAAAATCAAAGGAGGGGTTATACAGGTTATACTACATATGATTTTGCAGTTTTTTTTTTTCACTTACTGTGTAGGAGGTGTCTTTCTTGGCTCACTAAGCAGACATGTTCCCTGCCCGCCTCCCATCACAGGGAGTAGCACGATCCCTTACTGATAGGATGTGGCTTGGGACATGGCAGCTGTTGACTGTTACCGTGTAGGTCCACACTAGTTACTAAGCACCTGATTCCTGGGACAAGGGTACTAAGAGGGCCGAGGTGAGGCCTCTGCCCTCGGGCCGGCAGTCTGGGGAGAGTCTGATGGGTTTGTCACAAGTCGGATTTGGCAGAGAAGAGCTTTAGTGGAAGAACTGCAGTGAGCCCCAACTGCCTAGGGAAAATTTCCAGCTCTCCTCAACTCTTGGCTGCCCTGGGCTTGCCTCAGTCTTCCCAAGCTCCTGATCACCCCCTTCCACTCACCCTGTCTTACTGGCCTCATAGCACTCATCACAATGAAGCCGACACATGGCAGGGTTGGAGGCCACTGCTGCCACAGGGCTTCACAGACTCCTCCCTTGCAGTGAACAGATTAGGGGAATATGTGTTCTGTTTGTTTTTATTTGAAAGGCAGACAGACAGAGGTCTTCCATTCACTGGTTCACTCCCCAGATGCTGCAGCTACCAGGGTTGGGCCAGGCTGAAGCCAGACTCCTGGTGCTCAATCCAAGTGTCCCATGTGGGTGGCAGGGACCCAACTACTCGAGCCCTCACCTGCTGCCTCTCAGGGTGCACATCAACCAGAAGCCGGATGGGGTGGAGCCAGGACTCCAAACCCAGGCATCCAATATGGAATGCAGGCGTCCCCAGCGGCACCTTGCCATTGCACCAAACACCTGCAGGCCGCAGTAAAGGCTGCTGCAAGCCCCCTCCCCCAGGACCCCTCTTACTCCCCCAGCTGTCAGGAGGCACTGAGTTTGGTTCAGCCCAGCCAGGGAAATGCCCAGATTACTCATGTCAGAGCAGGACGGCACGTGGGAGGGAACCAGGGGCAGTGGAGAGGGGTTGCACAAGAATCTGGCATCCTCTCCTACCCCAAGAGTTTAAGCGAGGTTAAGGCACAGCAAGGCGGGAAGCCAGCAGAGGCCTTGGAAGTATCTCCAGAGAAGCGGAATTCAGGAAGAAGAAATAAAACGGACCACCCTTTATTTCCAGAACATTGTCTCATGGCCGAGAAGGTGCGACCCCCCACCCCGAGTCTAAGGAGCTCTCCCATGATGGCCTCGGCCAGGGTTCCCTAGAACTTCACCGGCTGCCGCTGCCCCTCCATCCCTCCCAACACTGCAGCCCTGCTGGCCTTTGTGCCCAAGCTCAGGGCCTCTCTCCGGGACGTCCCCCAACATGACCGCTCCTTACGGCCGACTCCATGTGATTTGGCCTCCCTCAAACATCACCTTCTCCAGGGCCGCCCTTCCCAAGCCCCCACCACCCTCTTTGACCTGGCCCTGTCTTGCTGGCATCACGGGCTCGTCACAGGCTAATGCCTCCTTGTTTACTGTCAGAGACCTCCCTGGACATGCAGTTTCCCCCAGGACAAGCACCTTGGCTGTCGCTTTCACACCATGGCCTCAGCACTTGGGGCAGTGCTGGGAACAGAGTGGGTACTCAAGAATGCATATTATGTTAATCAATGGTCCAAGAGGCCACACGCTGCAGCTTAGAACGGCTGCTGTCATGTTTGATGCGTGCTCCTGGGCCTCATCACCACCTTCCCACTAACTGAGACTCTATGAGAAATGAAGGTTGGGGCTGGTGTCCCTGGAAGAGGCCAGCTTCCTAATTGAGGCACTAAGCCTCATGCTACAAGCCAGGAAAAGTCTCCTCATCTTCACGTGAGAGCTGATTCTGACATCAGGAGAATGCAAGCAGCCATTTTGGCCTTAAGGATCTACATTCTTGGGTTTGACCCTCACATGTTCATTCACTGAGCCAGTATTTCTAGAATGGGCTGCATGCCGGGGCTGTGCCCTGAGGTCACGTGGAGCCACTTCTCCCTGCACGAGAGGTTGTGTTTGCTAACATGTGTGTTTTCACTTACATCACCTCACCTATGTTCTCTCCCAAACTCTGTCTTCCACATTCGCAGAAACCAGGGCTCAGCGGTGGGGCCAGAGCCAGGGCTGACACATGAACCTGTCTGGGGCCGGCCATGGTCATCTCCCAGTCTCCCACACTCTCCCTGGGCCGTGTTCCGTTGACTCCTCCGTGAAGTTCGGAAGAAGTTCAGATTATTGGGTAGACACCATGCATACAGTTTTCAACCAATTCAAGGGTGACCAGAATGGCTCAGGGCTGAGCAGTCTTCCTCTTCCCTGTACTACCCACCCTTTGCACCCCAAAAGCCATTTGCTCCCCAAGATTCCGTGGCTGCAGCAGGAAGCGTGGCTTCCCCTCCCTTCGGGGAGTGCCGGAATTCTCGCCTGACCCTCCCATTTGAAACAAGGGAAATTCCTGTGAAACCGCCTTGCTCGGGACAAAGCTTGGCATGCTTGCGTCCTCAGCCATCTGACAAAATCAGTATTTATTTGTGCCTCATAAGCGGGTGGCCTGGACACGGTGTTCTGCGTCGCAGAAGTGGCCGTGTACCAAGTGAAATACCCGTTACTATAGCAACAGTTCCTTTTTATTGATACCAGAATAAACAGGAATGCAAAGCTGCCTCACTTGTTGGCACATTTCAGCGGCCTCCCGTTCCCCAGGGGTTTAAGCACCGCCCCCTGGAGGCGGCCCTCCTCACTGGCCTGGGACTTCCCGGTGGAGCGAGGAGCACAGCAACACGGCTCCCGACTTCCCTCACGGAGGACCCGGCCCGACAAGTAAGAATCTCTCTATTCTGTTTCACCTGCTGCTGAGCTGGGTGCTGCCCTGGGAGGAGGTGGAAGGGCAGGAGGGCAGCCGCTGGACACTGCAGCGGGCTCTCAGGCAGGCCCTGAGCTCTTTGAGTTTAGGGGCCGGAGCTAGGTCTCTGCATCTGTGACATCGCCCAAGGGATGCCTCCTGGCTCCCTGGGCTCGAGAAATGGAGGAGAGACAAAATGAGCCCCACAAATCAGCCCTGAATTGTGGCTCATCTTTTTCTCTTAAGTCTTCCCATGAATGGGAATTAATGCGTGATATGGCCTCTCCTAAATCCGTTGTCCCACAGAACGGGGAGTTCTCTTCCTAACTGGTAGACAAAAGGCCAAAGTGCAGCAGGTGGCACAACTGGGAGAACACGGGTTCTGCATTCAGATAGAGCTTAACTCAGATGCTACCCCTTCCTCCCACGGCTGTGTGATCTGGGGGGACCAGATGGACCCTCTGAGCCTTCCTGCTTCTTCTGTAGAAAGAGGGCAATGACCATGCCCCCCTCACCCCCCGCAGGCTGCCAGGTGCATGACCCACAGCGAGCGCAGGTTACATGTTACCTGTCTTTCAGGTAAACTTTGATTCTGGCTCCCTGTGGTACATGCAGCAAGTCTGGGATTGGGCCAGAAGTCAGGGGCTCTAGGATAGGGTGTGTCACTTTCTGGAACTGCTAGGAACCCCAAGTGGATTCTGGCTATAGGGCAGCCCCAGTACTAGCTGTCTGTGCACTGCTTAAATCTGAGTGGCTCTCTTAGCTCTGCTGGTGGCGTGCACCTGCTGGAATCTCCCTCCTGCAGTTGTCTGCAGATGGAGTGACTAGCATGGTGGCAGGGGTGGGCCAGCAGGAACATCTGGCCTGCCGATGCTTCTTCCCTGATCAACCACGGGACACACTTCAGCAGCCTCGCTGAGGGACCCCTGTGGCTAGCCCCAGACTCTGCCCTGCGGAAAGCATTCACAACCCCAAAAGCACAGCCGCCTGAACGTGCTGCTCACAAAGGAAGCTGTTAGGGACAGAGGTTCGGGAAGTTTGTCTGGAGCCATTGCATCGGATGGGCACGCAGCTCTGATGGGGGCTGAGGGGAGATCTGCAGTGGCCCCCTCCCCAAACACACAGCTCTTGGGTGGCTGGCCCGTGAGATACAAACAGGCACTTTCCCCAGCGGGAGGAAGTCGGCAAGAAGCGTGGGGGAATCCAGCGGCCACGCTTGTCACTTCTACTCAATGCTGCTTTTTCCTTTGCCAGTCGTTATTCAAAAGCCTCTCTTCCTCTGTGCCCACCCATTAAATAAATGTGAATCGAGAGGGTGCTTCCTGCAGCTTGAACAGCAACAGGGAGTGAGAAAGGGACCCCACAGTTCCAGCTGGCAGCCAGACTGGTGGATTCTGGTCTAAGTCCAAAGCTGCTGAGGCCAGGCTGCGGCTTGCCAATGACAGTTTGTATTTTAGTCTTCCAGTTACTGGGCCTCAATTTTTTCATCTCTAAAATGGGCTCACACTGCCCCATTACTGGGGTTTCTTGAGCATCCAGAGAGAAAATGAATGTGAGCCTGCTGGGCCAGCTGAAAGACATTTTGTACCTGGAAGGCCAAGGGCACTGAATTTGGAGTCTGGCTGTCATTTCCTGTCTGTGCATCTTGGGGCAAGGAGCTTGGCCTCGCTCAGTCTTGGTTTTCTCATCTACCAGATGGGATACCACAGGCTGCCTCCCAGGGCGATTCTGACATCCAGATCAAATGTCCCTTCCGGCCAGGAAGACAGGGTTTGCCTTCAGTGAGCACCGCCGTGCCAGGCCCTGGACCGAGTGCACCATGCACATCCTATCATTCACCCTCCACATGGTCCCATGAGTCCCTATCCCCACTGTACGATGCTCAGAGAGGTCAAGCTATTTGCCCAAGGTCACTGAGCTGGGAAGGGGCACCACCGTGATACAAACCCAGCATCTTGTCTAAAGTGCTTTCAGCACTTTGCCTTACTGGCTCACCTGTCATCTGTTGTCATTGACTCCATCAAAGGCAGATCCAGAAGCACCAGGGCAAGGAAGAAGCCAATGCAGGGGCATTAAGGCCTTGGTCAGCTGGGGTTGACATGGCCATTCTCAGGATAAACTAGGACCTGGGACTTCCTCTCCCATCTGTCCTTGGTGGCCTCCTGCAGCCAGGCAGCACCAGTGTGTAGTTTCGAAGTTGCCCACTAACAGCCACACATTCCCACAGCCTGGGGAGCTCAGCCCTGCCTGGCATGGGCCTGTGTCCTGTGGGGCCTCCAGGGAGGAGCTCTGGTACCTCTTAGGTCACTAACAGAACCAGAAAGGAACCAAGTGAGGGGCTCCCAATCTCTCATCTGACCCCCCACCCCCACCCCATAGGAGGTGAGCTCTGCCCTTCCTCTGCACATTAATGAGAATTACGAGCCCATCCTGTAGTCACACGAGACACTCACTTTAGCTGTCAGACACAAACCGCCTCTACCCTCCTCCCAGAACGTTAGCTGGTCCAGTCTTTACAGCCAAGAGGATCCCAGAGGTCAAAGACCTGCCCAAGGACATACACCTGCTACCAACTGTGACCTTGGGCACACCTACCCACAATAGCCAAGTCAACCCCAGTGAGCTGAAACCGGTTAGGCCAGTGCCAAGAAGCTGAGTGTTTTTTCACTCCATGGTTTGCAGAGTTGGCTGAGAAATGGAATTGCCTGGAGAACTTTACCTCCTGAGGCCAAGCTGCTCCCAAGACAACTAAATCAAAATCCCTGATGTCAGGATGCTTCCACAGCAATGACAAAATGGAAATCAAGGTTAAGATCCACTGACTTGGCCAGCACCGCAGCTCACCAGGCTAATCCTCTGCCTGCAGCACTGGGTTCTAGTCCCAGTTGGGGCGCCGGATTCTGTCCCAGTTGCTCCTCTTCTAGTCCAGCTCTCTGCTGTGGCCCTGGAGTGCAGTGGAAGATGGCCCAAGTGCTTGGGCCCTGCACCCGCATGGGAGACCAGAAGGAGGCACCTGGCTCCTGGCTTCGGATCGGTGCAGCACGCCGGCCATTTGGGGGGTGAACCAATGGAAAAAGGAAGACCTTTCTCTCTGTCTCTCTAAATCTACCTGTCCAAAAAAAAAAAAAAAAATCCACTGATTTAACCAATGTAGCTTTTGAGGAGGATAAGAAAGCTTAGTCCAGGACTAGGAAAGGGACTTCCTTAACAGCAACTGTTAAAACCAACATTAGGGATCCCATTCACAGCTTAATCCACAGGAATTGAAGGCTTACAGTTGCACAGTGCACAACGTGCCTGGCTGTCTGGGGCAGCCCTGCTAGCTCTGTACTAGGCATTTGCCAAACGCCCTGCAAGTCTCCCCTCATTTGTTAGAAAAACACCTCAGGAAGAAGGGGCTCCACTCAAAGGCCAGCTTTACAGAAGAGCAAACAGCAGACCGAAAGCAGCTGTGCCTCCTACTCAAGCCTGCTCTCCGAGCGGGAAGGCAGCCACAGACTGAGAGTGACGAGTGGGAGTGGCTGTGATCCAAGGCAGCGAGGCAGTGGAATTGGGTCCAAAGGCTCAAGTTGTCAGACTCCAGCTCCAGAAGGTAGCTGCTAACTTGCTAGGCTGAGAAGGGACAGAGCCAAACGCAAGCCCAGGTCGGAATGGTTCCACGTCCACTTCCTCCCGTGGCGCTGCGTATAGCTCTGAAGGACTAGCCGGCCACTTAACTCCCTCCCCTCCGGGGGCCTGTTCCCTCAGGACCCCCAGCAGTCCTGGGAAGGTCCCCAGACAGCCTCAACTCCCCTGGCCCAGCGCCTGGGCTTTGCTGAGCAGACTTTGTGGTGACAGGACCCGTGTGACCCTCTTTCCCACATGGAGGCGTCATTTAATGAAATTAAAGGGTGGTGAGCATTTGTCCCAGTGGTGAAGACACCCAAACGCCATATCAGAGGGCCTGCGGTCAAGTCCTGGATCTGGCTCCTGATTCGCGCTTCCCTGTCCGTGGGCACTCTTGGAGGCAGCAGGCGACGGCTCAACTATCTGGGTCCCTGCCATCTACAGGGAGACCTGGATGGAGCTCAGGGCTCCTGGCTGCAGCCTGACCCAGACCCAACCGTTTGTGGGCATTTGGAGAATCAACTAGCAGTTGAAAGCTCCCTCACTCTCACTCTCTACCTCTCAAATAAATAAAAGTGAATTAATGTAGCTAAAGGACAGGAAGGCTGGCTCCACAGTCCTCTATGCCCCAGGGGCTCCCAGCAGCACTGCCCCAACGCAGGCATGTGCACAACCTCCCATGTTGCTTGCTGGAGTCCAGCAATTTTCCCAGCTACGCTTCTGTGCTGAAGATCAACCCAGATCCTTCAGGATCCCTGCTGCAGCCACACCGTCACCCGGGGCTGGCCACTGCCTGGCCCTGTGGTGCAGGACTGGCTACGTAATACGCAGGGACCCACAGCAAAATCAAAGTGTGGGGTCCCTTGTTTGCAATGTGTGAGGAATTTGAAGGCAATGGCAACAGAAAGTCCAAACGACACCAGGCCCCTCTACTGAGCCTGGCAGGCCGGGTCCTCTGGCCAGGGTGGGGCCTGACCCTGGGGTGTGCAACCCTGTGGCTGTGCCTGGTGACCCACAGAAGGAAGGTCAGCCAGGGCCAGTGGGTCTTTTTTCTGGAATTTAATGGCAGAGAGAGACAGAGACTGCCCGATGGAAGGGAAGGAAACCAAAGTCATAAAAATTCCCCAAACTTGCTGACCGTTTACCCTACATAGCAGCAGGAGTGACCTTTCCTGCATTGAAAGGGACGCACTCTCTGCCCCGCCTGGAACCCACCGGCCACCCGCGCTGCCGACACCCTCGTAGCGGCTGGCTCACGCCTGGGCAGCACACTGTGCTTCTGTGTGCCCCGAACAGACGCTGCTTGTTCAAGGTGCATGAGTCACGCTGGCTATTCCTTAGGCCCTGGTGGCGCCCCCGTCCCCTCCCCATGGTCAGATCATGGCAAGGCCCTTCCCCCCAGATCCAGCTGGAGGTAGGTCCTCAGCGCTATCAGAGCCGCCTGTCCCACTCGTGATATCCCTCGCCATTTCTCATCGTGCATTTTTACTGCTTTGTGCTTGGGTTTAGCAGCCTGTTGGCTAAGGTCAGAAAAGCCTGATAAGGTGTAGGAGCTGTAATAGCACAGACCTCGCCTGCCAGGGTCACCGCCATGTGGCCCGGGTCTACCACAGTACCTGCAAATGAACTTGAACATTTGGGGAATGCACGGCTTTTCCTGAGTTGTGCCTTCATTGTGGTCACTGCGGGCAGGCAGGAGCTCTTGGTTTCATGGACTTCAATTTTTTAAAGATGTATTTATGTGACACACAGAGAAGGAGAGATAGAGAAAGACACCCTCCATGGGACCCTTTTGAATTGGCCTTTTAAATTTTTTCCTAAAGATTTATTCATTTATTTGGAAGACAGAGTAACAGAGAAAAGGAGAGAGAGAGTGAGAGAGAGAAATCTTCCAGCTGCTGGTTCACTCCCCAGATGGCCACAACAGTCAGGGCTGAGCCAAGGCAAATCCAGGAGACATGAGCTTCATTTATGTCTTCCACATGGGTGCAGGGGCCGGGTCATCTTCTGCTGCTTTCCCAGGAGCATTAGCAGGGGACTGGATCAGAAGTTGAGCAGCCAGGACTCAAACCAAGGGCAGGCACCAGCCTCTGTAACTACTGTGGATCTGGCCACATTAACAATGAATTCCCTCATTTGTTCCAATGCATTTCTGCTAACCCATTTGGGAATCCAGACTACATAGTTAGTCTGCTAAAAACATTCATTCTGCCATCTCCTTTCCTAAATGTGCACAAATCATTTCTGTTTCCGGCCTTATTGCCAGGCAGCCTGAGCAGCTCAGTGTGGGGTGACAATGACCTGCACAGAATGAGAACTGAGGACACAGAAGCAAAGAATTCCTTAGTTAAAGGGCTGGTGGAACTTGGTAACAGGAATAGGCAGCAAGTGGGGGGTGGGGTCCATTCCAGTGTCATTCAGGGTTGTCTGATGCATTAGCTCCCAGGTAGCTTGCTCCCCCAGGACAAGAAAATGTCCATTTTTAAGAAAAAAAAAAAACGGGCTGTGTTTGGGGCAGTGGTTAAGATGCCACGTGAAATGCCCACATTCCCTATCACAGTGCCTTGGTTCAAGTCCCTGCTCTGCTTCTCATTCCAGCTTCCTGCTAGTGCACGCCCTAGAGGGCAGCAGGTGCTCAATGGTGGCGCACCTGCCACCCACATGGGACACCTGAATGGAGTTCCTGGCTCAGGGCTTCAAGCAGGCATTTGAGCAATGAACCAGAGATGGGAGCTCTATTTGTCTCTCTGCCTCTCGAATTAAATGATTAACTATTTTTTTACAAGGAGGACGCATGAATATAGCCAGCTGTCTATTTTGTCAAGTGCCCATTTTAAATTAACTACCAAACACTATCATGGCCAATTTTTAAGGACCAAAGAATTAGGACAGCTAGAAACTGAAAACAGATAGCCTTATGGAAAAGGTGAGAAGACAGGACGTTAATTAGAATTCAATATGAGTTCAAGAAAAATACTAGCAGCTATGTTTCTATGCTGTGACACAGTCTGGCTGTATCCAAAATATTGTACAACGATTAGCACCTTTTCCAGTGTACATATGCGGTCTCTCTGCGGGCTCCCCTGGCAGGTGGCATGGGAAACAGCCTCGCTGCGGATGCCTCCGCTCGCCGACACTCACCTTGGCCTCATTCAGCCTACACCCCACCAGACCCTGCCTCCGCATCCACTGTCCTCAGCAACCGCTTCCAAGTTTCCGCTCATCTAGTTCACCTGGAGAACACCTGTTCGCCCAGTGGGCCCCATCCAGTCGGGGAGCAGCTTTCATCCTGTTCCCCGTGCTGGGAGGTAGCGAGCGCCTGGGGAGGGCACCACAGCCCAGCACCCAGTAAGGTGGGGACCCGCTCCCTCGGAGGCTGTGTGAAGACTACAGGCTTTCAAGTCCAACCAGACTCTGTCAGTGCCTGGCATACAGCAGGCACTCAACCTCAGAAAAGCTGGGCTCCTGAAGGGGGCAGAGCTGAAGTCTCAATTTTCTCTGCAAATGCTAGAAGCAGGTCATGCTCAGGCAGTGTCCAGCCCCTTGAAACTTCTCTTTGAAGGAAGTCTTGGGGTGGGTGTTTGACTGAATGGTCAGGATACCCACGTCCCACGTCAGAGCGCCTGGGTTCAAGCCCCAGCCTTGGCTCCTGACTCCAGCTTCCTGCTAAAGCAGACCCTGGGAGGTGGCAGTGATGCTCAAGTAGCTGGATTCCTGCCACCAGCGGCGGGCCGGGGTGGCGGTGGGGGGCTGGACTGAGTCCCTGGATCCCAGCTTTGTACAACGCCCACCCCCCAGATATTGCAGACACTTGGGGAGGGAGTTGGCAACTTTTTTTTTAATTTCTACAAAAACATTTCCTCTCCTTCCCACCTTCTCTCTTGCTTTTGGACATTCCAAGGTTAAGGAACCAGCTTGTAGAAGAGGGAACCCTTAGGTCTGAATTTCAACTACACTCACCACTTTCAAACTGCCATGGTAGAAGTGAGGCCATCAAGTAGCCAGCCGGTTGCATCAAAGATGCCAGCCATCCCTTTGTAACGAGTGGCACAGCCCCTGCCTCGCACAGCCTCCTCTTTGGTCCACACAAAGTGAAAAGCTAGACATTCCCACCACAGCATTTGGAACTACAGATGGAGAAATTAGGGTTAGTATTTTCACCCCTGCATGTATCCAATCATCTTTAACAAGTACCTATCACTTTTTATCTATCTTTCCTTTTTCTGTTTTTCAAGTTCATTGAAACACACAAACTCACACCTAATTCCCTTTCTAGTCGAAGACACTTTTTTTGTTTTTTTGCAATCAAGCCAGAAAACATATGCAGGTCCCAACCCATTTGCTGTAACCCAGGCTCACTTGCTTCCCTTCCCCAGGTATCTCACAAACACTATCACCGATCCTTACAAGCCCATGCATCGGTCCAATCACTGCCAAGATCAGGATAGCGAGGACCCCCTGACATGAAACCCCCACCCTTCAACGGTGCCTGCTGGGCACAGGCGGGATTGGGGGCTCAGCTCTAACCCCTGTGCCCATCTCCACAGCCTCCATGTACTCCGAGATCCAGCGGGAGCGGGCGGACATTGGGGGCCTGATGGCCCGGCCAGATTACAGAGAGTGGAACCCGGAGCTCATCAAGCCCAAGAAGCTGTTGAACCCAGTGAAGGCCTCGCGGAGCCACCAGGAGCTGCACCGAGAGCTGCTCATGAACCACAGGAGGTGCGGGTGGAGTTGGGCTGCCCTGGCCCGGCTGGAACAGGTGCCCCTCGGGGAAGGCAGCCCTGGTCTCATCCTGGGCTCCTGGAGGCCGAGGAGGGCTGGGGGTGCCCTCCGTGGTCAGCACGGACACTGCCAAGATCCAGTCTGCAGAGGGTCCCCAAAGCCCTGTACACCCAGCCATCCACTTCACGCCAGCACCCCAGGGGCGTCCACCAGGAGCACAACCAGAAATGAACCCAGTTCCCACACTTGCAGAGCAGATGCAGGCACAAGCAGGCAGGGATGGTGTTTCATAAATTTTATTCCAGAGGCAGAAAGAGGGGGATCGTCTGTCTACTGATTCACTCTCCAAATGCCCTCAACATCCAGGGCTGAGCCAGGCCAAAACCAGGAACCAGGAATTCAATCCAGGTCTCCCACGTGGGTGATGGACTCAAGTACTTAAGCTATCACCGGCTAGCTTCCAGGCTGCACATTAGCAGGAGGGGAGCCAGGACTCAAAACCCAGCCACTCCCATACGGGGTGCCTGCAACCTCAATAGTGACTTCATCACTGCACGCAAAGTGGGTCTGGAAGCCCAGTGGAGGAACCTGGGAGGGGTCCAAGGTGACTGCCTGCAAGAGTGGATGCCTCGGCTAAGGCTCAAGTGGGGACGGGGTGAGCCAGGCTAGGACGTGGGCGTTGCATGGCAGAGCGGGAAGCATGTGCAAATGAAGCCACACAAGCAGCTGGGTGTGGCTGGGGCAGAGACTGAGAGGGGCAGCCAGGAGTAGAGCTGCAGAGTGACGAAGGCATAAGCAGTGGAGGCACACCATCTGGTCAGCTTTGGCTGAGGTAGGGGAACGGACCCGCCACACTGGAGGCGGCAAGCAGGAAGCACAAAAACCCAGTATGATGAAGAGGGGCTCCAGGGACAAACAGGCTGTGGCTGGGCTGGAACTCCACAACCGATAGGCGAGGGTGGACAGGGCGCAGCAGAACCGGGAGGAAGGCGGCATCGCCGCCTTTGTCGCTCCCTCTGCTGGCCGGTTCTGGTATTGGAGCCGGTTGCGATTTCCCTTCCAGTTTTCAGGAGTGACCAACATCCTTTTGTGCCTGGGTAGTTTGGGGTTTTCTATTCACTCGGTGTTATTACAATAGCATTTTCTCTGATTGGCTTTCAGAGGCATCGCATTTAATATCAAAAATGTCACCACAATGAAAAGCAGAAGCTTAAAGATGAACCAGGGGAAATATGTGCAATATTTTACAATATTTGCAATAGATTTTATTGGAAAAAATTTATATGCAGAAAAAATTAATAAATTCTGATCTCTTAAAAATCCACAAGGAAAAGATAAGTGAGCAAGGGGCACAGCGCTGTGACATAGTAGGCTAAGCCTCCACCTACAGCACCAGCATCACATACGGGTGCCGGTTCGTGTCCTGGCTGCTCCATTGCTGGTCCAGCTCTCTGCTTATGGCCTGGGAAAGCAGTACAAGATGACCCAAAGGCTTGGGCCCCTGCAGCCACATTGGAGACCTGGAAGAGCCCCCTGACTCCTGGATTAAGATAGACTCAACTCCAGCTGTTGCAGCCATTTGGGGAGTGATTCAGTGGATGGAATACCTCTGTCTCTCCCCCTCCAACTCTACCTCTCAAATAATAATTTTAAAAAAATAAAAAAAGATAGATGAGCAGAAAGCAGGTACAACTAATTCACACAAAAGGAAATGCAAGGAGTTACTAAACTTATCAAAGCCTGTTCTATGTAAAGACACAAATGAAAACCAGACATTTACCTATTTGAAAGGCAGACAGAGGGAGAAAAGATCTTCCATCTGCTGGTTTATTCCTCAAATGCCTGCAACAGGTCTGGGCCAGGCTAAAGCCAGGAGACTAGACTTCATCCGGATCTCCCAGTGGGGAGGGTGGGTGGCAGGGATCCAAGAACTTGGATCATCTTCCACTGCTCTCTCAGGCACATTAGCAGGAAGCTGCACCAGAAGTGGAGCAGCCAAGACTCGCTCCAGCAGCCTATATGAGGTACCATTGTTCCAAGTGGCAGCCTACCCCATTGTGCCACGATGCAGGACCCCAGGTATTATTTCTTAGCTACCAGATTTGCAAAGGTAAAAGAGATTGGCTGGTGGCAGAGGGGAGAAGCAGAAGCTCTTGTGCGCTGTTGACAGAGCGGACAGGCTTCTAAGGGACAGACAGAAATAGGAATCCAAGATCTTCCCTAAGAACCTGATGCAAGAACACCACCTTTAGAAACTCATCCAGAGAACCTAAGCAGGAGCGTGCGTTCGGCTCAGAAGTTGGGATGCCCACAACTCTGGCTCTTGACTCCAGCTTCCTGCTAACGAAAACCCTGGGAGATGGCCACTGATGGCTTAAGCACTTGAGTCCCTGCCACCCACCTAAGAGGCAGGGTCCAAGTTGCAGCCAGCCGAGACCCAGTCCTGGCATGGCAGACAAGTGGGGAGTGAATCGGCAGAGGGAAACTCACTCTCTGTGCCTATCACATAAAACCTGGTCTCTGCAGTCAGACAGGCCCGGGTTCAGATCCTCACCCAGGCCCCTTATGGCTGTGGCTCGGAGGAGTGTCCTCAGCTGACCAGCCCCTGTTCCCTTCTCTGTAAAATGGGACAGTAAAGCTTCCACTCCGGGGGCTGCCAGGAGGATGGCATGGCGTCACTCCAAGGTGAAGCCCTGAGCCTGGGGGAGGTGGGAGGGCAGGGGTCTCCTGACGGCCCCCACCCCACCCCCGCAGGGGCCTGGGCGTGGACAGCAAGCCCGAGCTGCAGCGCGTGCTGGAGCACCGGCGGCGGAACCAGCTCATCAAGAAGAAGAAGGAGGAACAGGAGGCCAAGCGGCTGCAGTGCCCCTTCGAGCAGGAGCTGCTGAGACGGCAGCAGAGGCTGAACCAGGTGGGTGGAGAACCCAGCGCCGGCCCCAGCCTCTTCCAGGGCCGCCTCTGGGCCCAGAGAGGGCCTCTTCGTGTGGCCGCAGCTCGTCAGCAGGAGGAGCACTGGACCCGGAGTCCGCCAGCAGCCTGAGCCCTCGCTCTGCCACTCACGGCGCTGTGTGACTTGGAGGAATGGCTTCACCTCTCTGGACCTGAGCTTCGTCCTTGCCCCAGTGTGCCACAAGCCAGTTCTGATTTCACTCTCACATTGCCCTGTGAGCCAGGTGGCACTGCCACCTTGGGGGGGGGGGGGACTGAGGCCCAGGTGCAGTCAGCGGTGCTCTGTCCACCCAGGCCCGTTCCGTCTCCCTCCCGAGGACACCCAGACCCCTCGGTTCTGAGACCAGGAATGAATTCTCGCAGCCCCATCCGCTTCACACCGCTGTGTCTCTCTCCTTCAGCTGGAAAAACCCCCGGAGCAGGAGGAAGAGCACGCGCCGGAGTTTATGAAAGTCAGGGAAAACCTGCGGAGGATCGCCACGCTGCCCAGCGAAGAGCGAGCCCTGTAGAGCGGCTGCAGCGCCCGGCAGCCCGGGCCCCCCACCCCGTGCCACGCACACCTGCTCCTGTAGAACAGCCTGGCCCTGGGAAGCTGGCGCCCCCTGAACGCCCAGCCGTTTCCTTCTGAGCACACTCCCCCCCTGCCCCAAAGGGAAGCCATTGCCAGGTGAACCCTCACCAAGGTGCCCCTCCCTGCACAACTGCACAGTGGGTATCGGAGCCCCTCTGGCTGTCAGGCCCGGAAGCAGCCCGGCTCCCTGGTCTCAGAGAACTCACCCACCTGTGGTTTCACCTGTGGCCAGGTGAGAGCAGCTAAGCAGAGCTCAGCTTCCAGGACACCCGCTTTGAAAGCCACCAAGGGCAGTGAGGGAAGGCACTGAGGCAGGGTGCAGCGCCCATGGTGGCAGCAAGCAAGGTAGACACTCACGAAGGGCACTGAGGGTTTGCCAACGCCCCCCACCCCCACCACACCCAAGCTTTGCTCTCCTCCTCTCCCCCGCCCAGTCCGGACCTTGTGAACACACCTAACGATGCGTTTCACACACCTGCTTGTGCGTAGGAGCCACAGGGGCTCATGTTCAGTTACGGCGCCTGATCTGGCGGACGTGGGCCGGGGGCTCCCAGGAAAGGCCGAAGCTGGAGCACCCGGGGTGGACCCTGCCTTGGGGCTTCCCCACCCCACTCCACGGAAGACTGTGGCTCTCTGGCCCAGCGTCTGTGTCGCAGATGTAATGAGTGTTTTCCCCAGGGACAGACGTAATTGCCAATCTGTGTTTCTCACCTGTGCAACTGCACCAATATGCGACTCCAGCCAAAAGCAGCGAAGACTTCACCTTTTCCTCTCGCCTTTGGAGAGCGTGTGCTCCCACCCCCACCCAGCACCTCCAGAGAGAGCTGCCACCCACCACCCAGATGCCCTTTCTCACTCCTATCTGGGTGACCAGCCAGGGACCAAGGGTGGTGTCCCCTTCCTGTGAGCGGTGCCCGCAGAGGTGTAGATGTAGCCATTCTGTCTCTGTGTGTGCATGCTCATATTCACGTTCAACCGAGCTCAAAAAGCTCCTGAACCTGACGCGCTGAGGGTGCGGTGCCGCTGTGTAAACATCAGCCGGATGAGGTTTATGCCGAAGATGCACGATCCCTAAATAAAGGCCACCTGTGCCCCAGAAGTCCCCCTTGGGGGTCTGTGTGTTGTTCGGACGTGTGGAGAGAAGCCAGACTGGGCGTCCGGGAGGAAGCAGGCCATTCCCAGGGAACTCGTGGAATTCCAATGGATGGCCACCAGGGTGCTCCTTGGAGGCAGCATGTCATGGAGAGAAAGTCCCAGAGGTGGAAGGGACCTCAAGCCCCAGGGGAGCCATGGCAGACACCCAGTTCACTCCCCAGTGGGCAGTCCAACTCCATCTCCCTAGCTACTGCCTGCTAGACGCTGTAAATCCAGACTCTCACTATTCCACCTCTTTTGACACTGAAGGTGACCATGTGACCATGTATGGCCAATGAAACTGGAGAGGAAGTCCACAGGGGCTTCTGGGAAAACTCAGGCTTTTCGGATGAAAGAGCCATGGCTAACACCTCCCTCCCTTTCCCTTCCTCCTGCCTTGACTGAGGAAGTGACGCCTGGAGCCACAGCAGACATTTTACCACATGAGGAAAAAAAGCCAAGAGAATCGCAGACATCAACCCTATCGTCCTTGGACCAAGCCAGTGCCAGCAGCTATCCTCCAGAGGTCTTGTAAATAAAAATAAATCACTCTTTGTTGTAAGCCATCGTTGGTCAGTCTCTGTTAACTGTAACCAAAAGCATCCCTATGGACACAGAAGGCCAGACGTGTCTGCCCAGAATTACCTGGAAGATCACACTACAAATTCCGATATCTCGTTCTCATCAGAAACCTATTGGGTTGGAATTGCCCGGCTGTAGGACAGAGGTCTGTCTTTCTACACCTTCTCCTTCTGGCCTGACACAGGCACTTGGGCCTGACTAATGCACACATCATTCAACAAGCACTTGGAGAGTGTTTGCTCTGAGAAGGAAGCCCGCTACATCCCAGGGCGTCACTTAGAACAGAGCCTGCCCACCACCTGGACCCTGCGTCGGTCACCCCCAGCTGGTCTCCCTGTGCTGCCCTTGCCCCAGAGCCCATACCCAGTGTGGCAGCCAAGGTGGTGCTGCAGATCCTGCCGCTCTGCACAGGGCCCTCCACTGGCTCCCAGCGCAGCCCTTCCAGCATCTAGAAGGTCCTACGTTCCCAGCTCCCTAACTTCTGACCTCCTCCCCCAGCCCGCCCCTTACTCACACAGCTGCAGCTAGTCTGGCCTCCTCCTCGCCCCACTTCAGTGCCTTGCACCTGTCAGCCCCTCAGCCAAGAGCCTATTTCCTCCAGAGAACCACATGGCCCATTCCCTCACTCTTCAGATCTTTTTTAGATTTACTTTAAGGGCCACCACAGGCACCCCATATGCTCACTGGTTCGTGTCCCGGCTGCTCCTCTTCTGATCCAGCTTTCTGCTTATGGCCTGGGAAGGCAGTGGAAGATGTCCCAAGTACATGGGCCCCTGCATCTGTATGGAAGACCCAGAAGAAGCTCCTGGCTCCTGGCTTCAGATTGGCCCAGCTCTGGCAGTTTTGGCCATTTGGGGACTGAACCAGTGGATGGAAGACCTCTCCCTCTGTCTCTCCCTTTCTGTCTGTAACTCTGCCTCTAAATTAAATAAATACATCTTTATAATAAAAAAATTTTTATTTTACTTATTTGAAAGGTAGAGTGACCGAAAAAGGAGTAGAGACAGAAAGAGAAAGGTCTTCCATCCACTGGTTTCAATCCCCATATAGCCACACGGCTGTCCAGGCTGAAGCCAGGAGTCTGGAACTCCATTTGGGTCTCCCATAATGGTAGCAGGAACTCAAGCACTTGGGCCATCTACCACTGCTTTCCCAGGTGCATCAGCAGGAAGATGGATCAGAAGCAGAGTAGCTGGGACTCAAGCCAGGGGCTCTCATATGGGATTCCAATGTAACAGCCAGCAGCATAACCCACTGTGCCACAATGCTGGCCCGATATTTTCTTCATGCTCCTTCTAACTCAGGCCCCCATGGGCACCCGCACTTAAAATCTCACCTACAGTTCCTGGTGAGGGAGTTACAGACACGCCATCTCAGAACGATGCCCATCAGGTGTGCTGAATGTGTGCAGCTGGAGTCACTGGAGCAGGAAGGGCCATTTGGCCTGAGCTTCCCTGCCCTGGGGAGGGGTGTCCTCCCCTGCCTGGGCCAAAGAAGCGCCTCCCTCCCCAGACACTGCTCTCCGGGGCTCCAATACACCTGCAGGAACAAATCCAAGGCAGTCGCCCTGGCCCTGCCCTGCTTGCCCGCCCCCACACCCCTCTTAGTGCCATCCCTAGACTCTGCCACCCTAGCCCAGAGATCATGCTGCCCTGGGGTCCCCTCGCCAGTGTGTTGTCCTTGATCTCAAAAGCATAAGAGCACCATGCTTGGGTCATGTCTTGGGACTTTCCCAGGTAGGTGTAACTCATAAAACCCACGTGCTTGTCCCTTGTGGGTCAGCCTGGTATGAAACCGGTTCCTAGGTCCAGACTGAGAGCCCACATAAGAACTAGAGGGAGGGTGGGAGGGGATCTCTCCCTCCCTCCCCTGCAGACTCTGGGGCCCCAGGCTGCTGCAGCCATCCCACCCCCCACTGCCCAGACCTCCAACAAATGCTGGAGAAGGTGGGGTTTGTGCCAGTTGGGCCCAGGCTCCCTGCTATGCAACCTCGTGGAGGTGACCGTATGAGGCTCTTGTTCTTGCCTGTCTGTAGATGCCTTTGGTGATCCTTCTCCTCAGGGAGACAGCCTTTGATTCCTTTGTCCTGTCTCACTGTGCCATTTGTGACAAAGGGGAACCACCCTAAGGAAAGCGCTCAGGGCGCTGACCTTACAGCCTGTCCTACAGAGTGTGCGGGTCCCACAGACTGGCGTCTATTGAGACAAACTTGGCCATGGCCCCCTGACACAAACAACAAGATGGGGCTCCCTTCTCATCCTGTTTTGTGTCCTGAGAGTTTGGCTTGGTAACCCATTAGCCCACCCACTCTGGCTGCCGCAGGAGAAGGCAGGTGCATTGCCCACTGCTCATGGTAGCCGTCGGTGTTTACTGGCAGTAGGGGGCAGGAGATGAGACTCAAATCTGCCCCTACACCCACATGGGGCTGGGAAAAGCTTCATGGGTTAGGTGGGAGAGAGCATAAGTGTGGCAGGCAAGTTCCCATTGGAGGGGCTTGGAACCAGGCCATCCCACGGCAACTGTGTCCTAAGCAGCTCTCCTAAGAAAGCAGGAACTTTAAAAAAAGAAAAAAAAAAAAAAGGAGGGTGGATCAGAACAGTTGCTGAAGATGAGGGAGCTTTCAAGAAAAGAATGAGGAACCCTAACAACAGGTTTTGAGTTTTGGGTACCAGGGGAAACTGGGTAAAGGGGGCAGCTGGAGCTGACCTCGCGGTCTCTGCCATGCGACAGGCATTGGTGGCACTCTGTCTGGCAGTCACCGAGGGGCTGGGGATTCGAGTTAGGTGTGATCTGAAGCTCCAATCTGCCAAGTCCTCAGCAAAGTTTGTCTTAAGAAGAGGCTCCTGTGCATAGGGGACTTCTGTCCTCCTACTCTTGGCTTGCTCACCGGTGCCAGGAAATGCCCATCACACTGCCTCGGCTCAGTGGGCGTGTGACTGGACGAGGCAGCATGTGCACAAACGTCAGCCTTCACCAGCCATGGCAACAAAGGCCTTTGGCTTTGCAAGTCTGTGTCTGAGGGCCAGCTTTGGGTCATGGCTGTCACGGCACCTGCACCTGCTTCAGCAACGCCCCTTTAGGCTCTAATCCAACTGCCACCTGTACCTCAGCTCCTGCTGGCACAGCCTTGTCTACCACAACTGACCTCTGCTCCGATTTGTTTTCCATTCCGTTACACCCTGACACAATTTCTCTTTGTGTTTAATTATTAGACCTGAGCCACGGGGCCTTTGGCCTAGCAGGTAAGCCACCGGTTGGAATGCCCATATGATCCTATTAGGGTACCTAGATCTAAATCCCAGCTCGGCTTCTGGTTCCAGCCTCCTGCTATTGCACAACCTGGGAGGCTGTGGCAATGGCTCAATCAGTTAGGTCCCTGCCACTCAAATAAGAGACCCATATGAGTTTCCAGCCCCTGGCTTTCAGCCTGGCCCAGCTCCAGCAATTGTGGGCATTTGGGTAGTGAACTAACGTATTAAAGATCTCTGACTCTGCCTTTCAAATAAAATGGAAATAAATAACAATAAGACAATAACTGCCCCCACCAAAAAAAAAAAAATAGCCTGGTACACTGCACAATTTCCTTACAGGGTTCCTGGTCACAAGGTAGGTAAAAGAATGTAATTTTATTATTTTTTAAAAGATTAATTTTATTTTTGAAAGGCAGAGTGACAGAGAGATGGAGGAAGAGAGAGAATCTTCCATCTGCTTCCATTCACTCACCAAATGGCTACAACAGCAAGGTCTGAGCCAGGCTGAAGCCAGGAGCCTGGAACTCCATCTGTGTCTCCCACATGGGTAGCAGGGGCTCAAGCCCTTCGGTCATTATCTGCTGCTTCCCAGGCACAGTAGCAGGGAGCCAGCTCAGAAGTAGAGTAGCCAGGATTGGAACCAGAGCTCTGATATGGGAAGCCAGCATCGCAGACGGCAGCTTTAAAACCTGCTGTGCCACAATGCCAGCCCCAATAATGTCACTTTCTGATAGGTCCATGAACTTCAAAACATTTGGGGGACCTCAAGAAGAGAGGAATTCACCCAGGTCTGCAGGTGCAGTCGAGTGGTAAATCCTTATCTCACTTTGAAAGATCTAATCTGAGGTTCTTTTTTTTTTTTTTTTTTTTTTTGAGTAAGGTAAAGGGTTTATTGGGGGAAAACTAAGTAGACCGGAGGGAAGGGGTGAAGAGGGAAGAAGAGAGAAGGAGACTGTAAGAGAGAGAGACAGAGAGAAGAGAGACGAGAGGAGGCGGCTAGAGAGAGTAATCTGAGGTTCTGAGGTTCCTTATCAAAGATTCCAGCAAAGAAAACTTTAAAAGAGCCTGTAGGGGCCAGTGCCATGGCTCACTAGGCTAACCCTCCACCTGCGGCACCAGTACTCCGGGTTCTAGTCCTGGTTGGGACGCCGGTTCTGTCCTGGTTGCTCCTCTTTTAGTGTAGCTCTCTGCTGTGGCCCGGGAAGGCAGTGGAGGATGGCCCAAGTGTTTGGGCCCTGAACCCGCTTGGGAGACCAGGAAGAAGCACCTGGCTCCTGGCTTCAGATCGGCACAGTGCGCTGGCCGTTGTGGCCATTTGGGGGGTGAACCAACGGAAGGAAGACCTTTCTCTCTGTCTCTAACTCTGTCCAAAAAAAAAAAAAAAAAAAAAAAAAAAAAAAAGAGCCTGTAGGGGCATTCACTATTTTTGCTGCATTTATGTAAATAAGCCAGCCAAGATGAGAAAAATTTTTTTAAGATTTTATTTACTTATTTGAGAGGTAGAGTTACAAATAGAAAAGGGAGAGAGAGGTCTTCCATCCACTGGTTTACTCCCCAAATGGCTGCAACAGCTGGAGCCGGGCCAATCCAAAGTCAGGAATCAGAAGCCGCAGTATAAAAACGCACATAGAATGTGCTCCATAAAACGTCAAAAGGAGAGAGGAATGAGAAACCCCCTCCCCTTTCTCCCACCACAACACACCCAGCCTCCCCCTAGGGTTCAGCCAGG